TATCAGTCAGACTCGGTGATTTGGTTGATTTCGTGTCATCGAACTTGACGGCGTAGATCATTGCCGACAATATCAGTCAGACTCGGTGATTTGGTGGATTTCGTGTCATGGAACTTGACGGCGTAGATCATTGCTCACAATATCAGTCAGACTCGGTGATTTGGTGGATTTCGTGTCATGGAACTTGACGGCGTAGATCATTGCCGACAATATCAGTCAGACTCGGTGATTTGGTGGATTTCGTGTCATGGAACTTGACGGCGTAGATCATTGCTCACAACACCAACCACCAGGGTCGGTTGTTTACAGGCTGCTGTCATATAGCTAGAATACTGACGTTAGAGAGTGCAACGTCAGACAACAAACAAGGATAATGCTTTCCTTAAAACATTCTTGGGTAGTAAGATCAAGACACACACATCAACCTCGAGAGATACTCCCGCGTGGAACTATTTCCCAGTATTTAAGATACCTAACGGCATGAACTAAATCAGTTTGTTTGACCAAAAACATCTTGCTTTGACCCATATGTACCGTGTATGTTCCAACATAACTCATTTCAAAGGTCCAGCTACATATCGAATTCACTGACCTTGCTGACCTTGTTGATGAAGGCCATCGGCACTTGAGCCCACACTCTGAGGAACGCCTGACGCAGTTCAGCTGCAGTTGTCGGCCTTGGTCGGACATCATTCAGCCGTCTTTGAATTTAGTCCCACAGGTGCTCAATGGTATTTAAATTGGGACTCAGGGCAGGCCACTGCATGGTTCTGATGCCATTCTGCTGGAGGAAGTCTCTTGTTGCTCTCGCAGTATGGGCACGGGCGTTATCATGCTGAAACTCGTGGTTGCGGCGACGTGCCAAATGAGGTATGGCGTGTGGTCTCAAGACTTGATCAATGTTCCGAGCTGCTGTGACACCATTGCCTCTCCCTGGACCGATGTTCTGGAAGACCACAGGGCCGACCCATGTGCAAGACCAATTCCACCCGACACCATGATGTTCGGACGACCCCACGAGTCTTTCTCAACAACACAAGCATCCGAATAACGTTCCCCATGGCGTCGCCAGACTCATCATCGACGCACGGTGTCCGCACTAATGTGTCGCTGGTGTGTCCCCTTGGTCTGTCGAGCAGTTTCCGCAGCAGTAACGAAGCGATTTTGAAGATGCTCTCGCAAAATCTGACCATCCTGACGTCGGGTGGTGACCCCTGGTCTTTCACTGCGTGGTCGGTCATCTGTAGTGTTTGAGGTCTGGTACCGTTGATGGAGTCTGTATATGGTCCTTACGTGGACTTGAATTGCATTGGCTACTTGCCGGGCGGTTTGTCCAGCTTGCAAATCGTCCAAGGGCTTGGTGTCGCTGATTTCGTGCAATCTTGGCATGTGGTAGCAATTCAATAACGAATGAATGTTATCCGATCTGGGTGGATTTTTATAGGGCAAGAAATGGGGGAACGCGTGTGCATTTCAATTTGCACGGAACTCACGTGCATTGGGTTACCATGGCCGTTGCCGTAATGCGTTTGGGTGATCAGTTTTTTATCATCAAACTCATTATTCCGGACAAGGTAATGTTAAATTTTAGAAACTTTGACAAAAAATACTCAGATATATAAATGACAACGTTTGATACAATGTTACTTGGGGTGACGTTTCTTTTGCCGTTCAGTATATTACGAATGCATTATCAACCTTTTTATTTACCTATTGGTATTTTTATTATTAAAGAGTTCAAGTTGAATTAAATTATTATATACGTCTGCCAATTCTGAAATGATGTCAGTATAATCACTGCCAGGATGTGATGTTCCGGCGTGGCTTGGCTGTCGTCGTTGTAGACAGTCAGACCGCTCCCAGAGCGGAGATCTATCCGCTATGTCCAACTGTCAATCTGCCCTCGTAAACTGAGGCATCACAGGAGATGGGTTATCTGGTGGCACGTTCTCGTCAGAAGTCATAACAGTGCAACAGCCAGATGAAGAGGCCCGAGCTTATGTTCGCATTAGTCTGATGTTCCCGAGAATACTGTTATGACACCCAAGTATACTTAAGGTTCCAATAGCGGACGTATTTGGCTTCTTTCTTCAGTGGTGATACAACCAGTGTTCTTTTATAATGGCAGACATGATTTTATGTGACCTATATTCCTATATTATACTGTACTGATCAAGAACTTATTTTTCTTTGTATTATCAATCCACGCGTCTCTTCTGACAAGGCCTTCTGTCACGTCGTTCTGATGACCACAATGACATGTAACCGGGCGTGCAATGCTTACCACAATGGAAGGTTGCATCGCTGAAGGGTGGTATTTTGTCGTGGATTTTATGAGGTGGTGTCAATGTTGTATCCCTATTAACCTCGCTTGAAGTTTTCGTTGTGTATATGGGGCTGACGTCTATTCTACACCATGAAGTAACATTCTCCGGTCGGTCTCCTTGGCAACAGCTACCTACACCCCCGTCGCTCTTCCAATAGGACTGTCCTCCGACATCAACCTGACACGCCGTGTATAACTGATATAATGTTGAAAGCTCCAGCTCCACTTCAGATGGAAACTCTTACACTCCCCGCAACTCCTCTGGTGAATTATCTGTAGAACCTAAAGCGCTAAGGTTATTTACTTCCGGTTTCTTTTCCTCAAGAAGTGGTTTCCCTTTAAGTCCCCGGAGTATCCCTATTGTCGTCTTTACAGAACAGTCATCAACCTCCATCATCTTCACCGGCCTGTAGCTCCTCCCATCAGCCCCAAACTGTAGGCTCCATCCCTTCCTCCCATAAGCCCCAAACTGTAGGCTCCATCTCTTCCTCCCATCAGCCCCAAACTGTAGGCTCCATATCTTCCCCCTCCCAAACTGTAGGCTCCATATCTTCCCCCTCCCAAACTGTAGGCTCCATCTCTTCCTCCCATCAGCCCCAAACTGTAGGCTCCATCTCTTCCCCCTCCCAAACTTGTAGGCTCCATCCCTTCCTTCCTCTCAAACTGTAGGCCCCATCCCTTCCCCCCTCCCCCGAAACTGTAGGCTCCGTCTCTTCCTCCCTCCCAAACTGTAGGCTCCACTTCTTCCTCACTCCCAAAATGTAGGCTCCACATCTTCCTCCCTCCCAAACTGTAGGCTCCATCTACCTCTTCCTCCCTTTCCCAAACTGTAGGCTCCATCCATCTCTTCCTCCGTCCCAAACTGTAGGCTCCGTTCTTCCTCCGTCCCAAAACGTAGGCTCCATCTCTTCCTCCCTCCCAAAATGTAGGTTCCTCTCTTCCTTCCTCTCAAACTGTAGGCTCCATCTCGTCCTTCTCCCAAAATGTAGGCTCCATCTCTTCCTCCCTCCTAAACTGTAGGCTCCACCTCTTCCTCCCCGTCAAACTGTAGGTTCCATCCATCTCTTCTTCCGTCCTAAACTGTAGGCTCCACCTCTTCCTCCCTACCCCCTCACCCCCTAACTGTACGTTCCCTCCTCCCTTGACGTGTAGGCTCCTTCGTACCCCTCCCCTCAACCCCGACCTGCAGGCTAAATCGCCCCAACCCCCCTCAAGCCCTGCTTGTAGGCTTCCTGCACCCCCGACATGTAGGCCTCCCACACCCCACTGAATTGTTTAGAAAAGGGAGAGGGTTTGTGGGGACAGGAGGATGATGGATGGGTGTATTGATCTCAAAGTTCCCGTCTTGGCCGCAGCTGGCTACGTTCGCCCAATTGGGAGTGTAACTCACCCGTCTCTGACAGTCTAGTCTCCATCTAGTTGAGGATTTAAATCGATACTTTGTGAAACTGTATTGTGTGGGGTACGTCTTTATCAGCAGGTGATCGTGTGAGTAATATGGATGTCTCGACAATGAGACTGTTGGCAGCGTGGTGTGAAGATGGATGACACAGGCGATGTGCTGTAAATTTACATATGTATATCCTGTATGTATACTGGGAGTTGGATGTTTAGACACACACAGGCGCGTTTCTTGTGCACACGGACCAATAATTCCATTTCTTCTTCAAAATGATTTTGTCATCTATTGGTCCACATAGGGTTCGGACCTCAAACATCAAGCCGCTACTCTAAGTACTCTTCATGTTCTCGACATATATAGGCCATGAGGGTAATAGTAAAGCTAGGGAAAAGCGATAATGAAACTTAATGAATATGCAAATGAATGTTAATACATATTCAACATTTAAATAATAGTGGCAAAACCCTTTCCATATCCATAAGAAATTTCGGCCAAAAGCAGAGTCGTTTGTACGATTCTGACTATAACATGTGTTTTTTTATGAATCACTATCAAATAGTGATGTTACCAGACGAAGATGTGAGCGTATTCCGCCCCACCGGTGCATCCGTCACAAACACACGCAAAGGCAAGTCAATTGTTCACCTTAAATAAAACGGGAACATAGTGTACAAGTCAAAATAGAGAACCTCATTTTTGTCACTGATGCGTCAATTTGGAAATGCATTCATGTCTACAATAACACGTTTTGAAAGCTTTACTTGATCAAACAGATGACACTCTTTGAAATCATCGTACAAAGGAATTCTTAACAAGTAATGTATGGGTTTCCACAAGCCGGCCAACACGGGGTATCATCACTATGTGCTAGTGATTATGGTATAGTCGAAATCCTACAATAGACATCTGAAATTGAAAGAGGGCAATCAGATGAAGCTACACCGGCAGTATTTCTGCCATACTGTGAACTCGTGGACGACTTTTGTCCTTGTTTAATCATTTTGAAATACCGAAGAAAACACTTCAATGTGAGCAACTGTTGAACAATCGATGTGCACGGAATATAATGGTGAATATCGCTATAGTGGTTTTTCATCTGAAGTATCAACAAAGACAGGGTTGACTCATGGATTTCAACTTGTGTATTCCTTCAATGCCACGTTTGGATACAGGAACTAGCATCTGCACCCGGCGTCACATTGAAAGAATGAAGTTACAAGCCATGCGTCAGCTTCATGATGGTGTGAGAAAACTGAGAAAGGTTGGTTTTACCCCGGGTTCGTGTCAGCGGTTTTCGAGCAATTGTTGACCTTTGCCGGACTCTGCATGGCGTATGTGTGTCCTCCTCGCCGACATATCTTTAGCTTACCATTGTGAGGCAAGCAACACAGCAGGCTGCAACATACAACACAATCAGTACCTTGCCACATACAAATGTCACAGTGTCAGACAGGCAGATGTATATACTCATAGATACAAACAGATGTGAGAGAGAGAGAGAGAGAGGGAGAGAGAGAGAGAGAGAGAGAGAGAGAGAGAGAGAGAGAGAGAGAGAGAGAGAGAGAGAGAGAGAGAGAGAGAGAGCGAGAGAGAGAGAGAGAGAGAGAGAAAGAGAGAGAGACTACAGTGTTCTGGAACTTTTCAAATGGTCTCTACCAGGAGTTTAGAACTATATATATAAATGTAAATTACAGCTAAATGATATGTTTTTCAAATGAAACATCGTCATTTATGCACATGGAGTACAATTATTTGTAAAGATGAAATGTTCGTGTCATTTTATGAACCATATTATGTGCGTTCATGTAAATATGTAATCTAGTCTGGATCAAACAATCCGGTGATTGACATCGTGAGCATCAATCCACGCAATTGGAATACGATTACATGTTGTCCCCCAAGTCCCGGAGACTGACCATCACCCACCACCCACTACCATCCCCACCCACCACCCACCCCATCCAATAACTCGCCTCCTACAAGCATATAGATGTCTTTACCCAGAATCCCCGTGGATGTGAGACGGTTTGATGGCGTATTAATGTGTAACGAAAACATGTTGTTTTCGCTTGTTCTCAATCAATTACTTAACTGGCCTGAGGAGATAAGAACCAAACATAGAAACGACCACTGAGTCGCGGTATTGATTAAACCCCTAAAGGGGTTGTTGAAATATATATTGACGCATTGCTATAAATTCATCGAGACTGTGTCAATTTGCGTTCCCAATCTGGTAGATCAAATCAATATCATCAAAGTAGTGACATAGAAATAGCTAGAATAATATTCATCTTGAAAGTATATGTCAGATGTCAGTTATTAATATCCGTTCTCTGAAACCTCATATCTGTCTGACAGAAATACCATATAATATTTTCTAGCTCTATTCAAGCGGGCTGTGTTATTTATTGAAACTACGACACACGAATCCATTTACAATCACAATACGAAACACAATATGGAGACGTGTCGGATACAAGGTCAGACTACATTAATCCTAGAAGGCCAATCCAATACAATCCCCAGCCTTGGATAAATGGATTTATGGAGGCCGTGTAATGAGGTTAATCTAACACAACCATTAGCATTCGATTGATGACCAATGTAAATGAGAAGACCAGGTAAGTGTTTATAAGCCTTGGTGAACTGGTCACAGAGATGGGATATTAGAGAGGAATAGAAAGCTTACTTTACTAAGACGGTCTTGAGAGTATTTCTGTTCCACATTCTATCTTGGCAATAGAGACGCAAGACTCAATGTAGTATCAAAGGGTATATTTAGATCTGGGACAAAGGATTGTGAAACTATATGCTGGTGTGACGCTTCACTCTTAACAAGGAACACCTTTCCCTTTGATCAGAGTGTGTGTGTGTGTGTTGGGGGTGGGTGGGGGGTGGTGGGGGGTGGGGGGGGATATATACCTTTAGATTAGCAACAATACGGTATATATACACATTTAAATATAAAATAACGCCAGAGAATAATCAGTCTCGATTATCTGGCGAAACAAATTCCATTGGGCGAAAAAGGCAAAAAAAAGCGATGAAAAACCTATTGCCATCTTACAAAAGAATATCTATCTATCTGTTACCGAAATCAGTGTCAGCTGGACCTGACATCATTTTATATGTACCCATCACCTCACAATGATCACTCTGCAACTGTCCCCTTGCAATACACACACAACAAACATCAGCCATAATCACCACCGTACACTTGCTTGAGTAATATACCTTTAACATCATCACCACCTTACACTCGCCTTAGTAACATATCTTTAACATCATCACCACCTTACACTCGCCTTCATAACATACCTTTAACATCATCACCACCTTACACTCGCTTTAATAATATACCTTCAACATCATCACCACCTTACACTCGCCTTAATAACATACTTTTAACATCATCACCACCTTACACTCGCCTTCATAACATACCTTCAACATCATCACCACCTTACACTCGCCTTAATAACATACCTTTAACATCATCACCACCTTACACTCGCCTTAATAACATACCTTCAACATCATCACCACCTTACACACGCCTTAGTAACATATCTTCAACATCATCACCATCTTACACTCGCCTTAATAACATACCTTCAACATCATCACCACCTTACACTCGCCTTAATAACATACCTTCAACATCATCACCACCTTACACTCGCCTTCATAACATACCTGCAACATCATCACCACCTTACACTAGCCTTAGTAACATATCTTTAACATGAAGACCACCTTACGCTCGCATTAATAGCCTGAAATTGCTTTGTAAACATCACCTCATAAGTATCGCCCTCAAGCATAGCCTTACTAACATCACTTGTAAGTTACGCACCCAATCTTTGCCGTACAAAAGTCACTTATAAGTATCGCTCTCAATCCTTTCCTTCCCACTAAGGTCATACATGTATAATGGTGAATATAGCAAGGACGGCTGTGATGTTAATGTTCAAGAGTTCGGAATCAGTTTACCAACATGACCCTCCTGCTATACCCATGAAATTCTCCTTTAAAGGGCGCTGACACATCAATTATTCATCAACTTTTATTTAGATCCGATTGTGAACTTCTCCAGTATTGAAACTGTGAGTACCATCTGCCGAGTACTGGAACTAACGTGTACGATCGTGTCACTCCTCTGTCCCGAACTGACAGATATTTTCTATTAAGTCCGTCGCCCCGTGTAACGTCAAATCGTGTCATAAATCGACCAAAATATAATCTATTTGTCACGATAATCATAACGAATATTCTGCAACCAATTTATCGTTCATTTAATGCGTCTTTTAAAGCGAGGTTTGTGATCTGCTAATTACGTGCGAGTTCAATTCGGGCATCTCTCAGCCTTTTATTAGCAAAGTTGACGTTCATCGGAAGCTATAATTGAACGCTGGTTATACGAAAGCTAAAGGATGTGTTCCCAGTCAAATATGCTTCCATTGATTGTAGGTCAGCAACAGGTCACTTTTCAAATACGACCCATACAACCTTCCTATTTGCTGTGATAATACGGAGGGTATCGTTGTGACTCATCCTGCACACAGGCATAGCCGCAGGTACCGCGAGCTTACAATCAATACCACAATTATTTTTCTGGGGATCTAGTGTTTTTTTAGAAACATAATTCAAGACAAAAAATACATTGAATTAGAGGTCTTCAGAAGGTTGCATTACGGCTTCGGTGAGAATTTCAAGCCTCAGAGGCCAAAATTTAAGATGGCTGCTGTCAAAGTGCAGCAGACGACCAATCGGTCAGATACTAAGCTAGTGGCACAGATGTCCAAGTTGGAGGATTGAGGCCATTTGTTAACATACTGCAGCATAACGTTATTACAAAATGTCTGATATTTTATTTTCAATACGGAGGGCCGTGAAAACAAACCGGAAGAATTATACCAAAGCCATTGTTTAGATGGGCGATCCTTACCAATTCACAAATTATTGTTAAGCTTAAAGCTACGTAATTTTGTCAATGCTGTGTGAGTTCAGGTGAAAATCGTACGTTTACTAACACTGAACCTATTGCCAGCAGCTACGAAGGGTAAGATACCATTGCACAGGTTAAAAGATTCATCACAGGCAAACATAACGGGGGTGAGGTGGTGGTGCGGGGAGGGTGATGGGAAGGAGCGGGTGGTGATATATATGGTGGACGAGCAGTGTAACAGCCATATGTCGGCGGGAGGCTTCATATAGTCACCGATAGGGAAATACTACCCAGATATTCGACACGACGACTGAAGGGGAAAGCCACTAGCGCACGCCTCGGGATGGTTATAATAGCTGTCATGACTCTCCAGCTTCTTCAGTCACTTTTCCAAACCGACATATAACGTACACTGAACATTTGCAATGCATTATAAATAGAAAGCGGTATAATAACACTTTCCGTCATGCAATATGCATTAAGGTCAGAGGGGTTCAGTTATTCAGAAATAGATAATAATATTTTTTCAGCTACAGATGAAAAACCAGATATTTAAAAACAATTAAAACTATGGGCCTATTGTTTCAGTTCTAAATACCTTGCAGCAGTGTATTTTTGTATCAGAATTATGAAGAGTAATTATTGTAATTATTTTTCAAGCATATTGAAGAACAATTGATTGATTCCCTCGTTGAATAAGATGCTTCTAATATATGTATACATTTAAATACTACTGACCAGTGAGTTTACAATACTGTTTTGTACATAAAATTGATTTTTATTTACGTATATATTAGTAGATAAACAAACAAACCATCAACTGTTGAAACATGCGAGCTCTCTGCACCTCTGGCAGTTAAATGATGACGACAAAACGTATCTGCAAAACGTCTTCCCTCGGGTGTCCAAGCAGATTCGAACTGTGTCTCCTCGTTTCTCTGATTCGGCAAGATTATGTAAATCCTACCTTTGAAGACCGCTGTTTTACGCGGATTAGTTACCAATGGTTTCTCAAAAAATGTTTTTGAAACACGAAAGAGTTAGACAAAAACGGACAAATCTTTAAATTTTGTCCATGTCAATATTGAAGCTGCACTGGATACGCCGTCACCCCAGCTCCAGAGGCCACAAACGTAATGAACACGTTTTTTAACTCATTGAGAGTCAGTGAGATGCTCGCTAAATCCACGATGTCTGTTGAAGCAGGTCACGTGATAAGTTTCACATGATTCAATAACACCTATAAAATTTTTTTCTATCTGATTCTTTTCAGCACTGAAAGCACCCTCCCGCCTTAAGGCCAAATTGAAACCATAGAAATCAGAAGTTGGATAAGATTAACTTTCGATACAGACTTAGGACGTTATCACTGTGTTGAGTTCCATGTTAAGATGGCTAAGAAAGATTCGATTGGAATAAATAACATTGGGTTTATCAAGTTCGTTTAGCTCAGGCCTTCTTGAAGCTAATTGAGACAGAACCAAAGAAGTTTGAATGGTGTTGTCTTTTAGGACAGAAGTCATCAAACATCCTTGGTCTCAAATTACAATTCATGCAGTGCCTGCAACAGCCATTATTAATCACACTGAACGGGTTGGGTTTTTGTGGTGTTTGGAAATGAAGCGCTTGGCGGCAATCACAGGGATGGAAGCGGGACGATATGACAGACATAGAAGAGATACAGGGAATAATTACAGGATCATTTCTTGTATAGGTATTGATCGTCTCAGCGTATATCTGACATCACACGTTACTGCAACTGATCCCTCTACAGCGGGGACGGCATGCGACTGCCACTACGCTGCTCGGGCGTGGCAGGGACGTGATGTGATGTACAATTATTGATGCTGCACAGAACTCTATAATGACGCTCGCACGTGCTCTAAAAGATTACCCTGCACGGATCCATCATGCATGTAGCATTGTGACAGATGGCCTTCCATAGATCGCGTTGTTTGAACCCTTTTATCTTGAATGTCAGGTATGGGATGCATGCTATATTGGATGCCTACTGAAGTTTGTGAATCCACATAGATTCACAGAACCGCTAACGATCCTGAAGCTGTAATAACATCATGTCTTATGAATCTATTTCCGTCATGTGCATGTGTATCAGCACATGATCGAGCACCGTCTCAAGTACAACACATTCTAAATTACAGCACAGTCTGTATTAAGTCTGAATATAAATACAATAAATAACACGCACACGCACACGCACACGCACACGCACACGCATACAGTTTACAGTCACATTATTTCCACGTTCCACGTGAACAGTAACTGTATCAACGGTTGTTTGAAAATGAGTCTGTTTGTTGTTTAACGCCGCACTCAGCAATATCCAAGCTGTATGGCGGCGGCCAGGTAAATAATCGAATCTGGACCAGAGAATCCAGTGATTGATATTATAAGCATCGATCCATGCTGGATGGTTACGATGACACGCAATCAGCCAAGTTATCAACTACTCGATCCAACTGGGTACCTCTTACGACCAGCATCTGTTGCCGGGAACCAATTCTAACCCGGTTCTATACCGCCGTGGTCTTGTGGTAGAGCGTCCGCCCGGAGAACGGAAGGTCCGGGGTTCGATCCCCGGCCGCGTCATACAAAAAGACGTTAAAAGATTGTACTTGTTGTTACCCTGTCTGGCGCTCGGCATTAAGGGGCTAAAACAAGGACTGGTCGGCTCGGAGTCAGTATACTGTGTCTGAGTGGGGTATTCATGTTAAACTGCGGCATGGTATCTCAGTGAACTAGCACTATAAATCGGCATCAGTCCGGACTAGTACAAGCAGCCACACACACACACACACACATACACGTGCATGCACGTCGCTATATAAGTGCAATAATCTTGGACGCGACGTTAAACCCAATTTCACCTCACCTCACCTCACCTCACCTCACCTCACCTAACCCGGTTCTACACAGGGGTGGTACAAAAAGAATGGATCCTGCGTCGGTGGAAACTTGTGATAATTGCTGATTCTTAATATGTACAGATAGCCACCGACCCACTGAGAGTTGGAATCGTTATGAAAGTCAAGTGGACTCTTGTTAAGGACTCCACACAACACAACACAGTTAAACCTAACAGTAACTTTGTATTGCAAACAGGAATCGAAGATCGGCGTAATGGCCGCCTTTATTATATCCGAGATTCAAATGCAGGAAGTGGCGTTTGCTGATTGGATGATAGAACGAGTCACGAACACAAGGCGATATGGAAAATTGGAAGAGTTGGTAGTTTGCAATTAGATTGATGACATTATGAATTTGTTGCATGAGAAAGGAACATTATTGTAGGCACTGCAGGTCCCCTGATGAGGCTGTGTGCGTTTGTTGGCTGTACTGACTGGCGAGGCCCACCACTAACGAGCGAGAGATTAACAGCTGTTTTCCGATGCTTGGCATATCATCTGCTTTGTCAGACATTTCTGCTATAATAAAAGGTTTATTTTCAAAATACTTTTGTCATATAGTTTATTAATTTAGTAATAAAGAATTGTCCTTTTAAGGGGGATCTCACATCTGCATCACTGTGTTGATGTTTACGGATGCAGACTGTCATACGTTTAACGTGGGTTGATTGCATCTTGAAGTTAAGAACGTTAAGAACTCATTATGGCTATAGATTTAGTAATTAGTGGCAGTGCCGTTTTTTATTTGTTCAACTTTTTGAAAACACAATTGTTGTGATTTCTTTTAACAAACTTTGACTTATACTTTAAAAGACAACAGAGAAGTTTGGTAGCGTTGACTGAATTCACACAAGGGACAATGACTCAAAATACGGGGCTCCAACAAAGACGTTTATTTGAATTCTACTTGTTAGGTATTCTTCAAGCAGTAGAAGATGAACTTCACTTTTAATTAAGATGTTTCACTTCTGGCCATGTCATGTTATTACTTGAATTAAATAGTTAAATATAAAATTAAATATTATTTATTATTTGAATTATTGCAAAAATAATATTCACATTAAGCGAACAATCATGTGCCATTCGAGGGGAAGGACCGGGGTTGCTCTTTGTTAAAAACAAGACTATGTTCGGTCAATCCTTCAAGATAAATTATTATAAAAAAATATAAATATATTTAGCCGAAAAATATTTTCACAACACATGTCTCAAACGTAATGGCCAGCTGTTCAGTGGGATCAAAGTGTCAAGCAAGCGCCCTTAATTTGGAATACAATGCTGAGACAAAGTGTCCATCTTTCACGATGAATTTAAATACATACAATGTACTAAATGTATTCCAGCAAAAGTAAACACTAGTTACCTATGGAACCCCATGGACGGCCTCTGTGGACTGACGCGGTGTGCGAGGAACAGGGACCTAGCCTATAAGACAAGAACAGCATTGTAAGATGCGGAGCCACTGCTGCCATGAATATGGGCGCGAGTCAGGAAAAGAAATAAGTCCTGCCTTCTTTTGAATGCCACGGACAATGACGATTATAACCGAGTACTAGCGATAGGGACCAAGCTCCTCCCCAGCGCGTGACACCTTCGTTACACCCTCGGTAACACCGCTGCCACCATGCAGTGTGGGCGCGACCATTACAAGATCCTTAAAATTTGCCCTCTAACCCCAAATGTAGTAACGTTTATACTTTTTGTCTATGTCTTTGGGAATGCCATCATAGTGAATTTTGAAAAGGTATACGACTGACCATATTCCCTAGATGAATTTACCTTTTTGTTTGTTTAAGTAGAATGGTTCGAGATTGCAGACAAACGGAAAATCAACCAACTTCCCCTTTACATCCATACTATACTAATCACATGATAGTTGTAATGAAACAGAGAGTCAAATTGACAAACAAAGAAAGTAATTTGGCAGGGGTAAGAGTATTCGGCGTCACGGCAGTCATCACTTGTTTGCGAACACAACGGTCAGTCGCCATGGCTGTAGCCACCTATCATTTGGTAGCTTTGACTGGTGGCAGCGAGAGTATAGAGAGTCCCACGAACAGGATATCGCTGTGAGGAGCTTGGATAGTGACATGCACACGCACAACATGGCGACAGTCCAAGATTTCGTGCAGCAGGCTGCCCTTCTATGACAATGACTCAACTACACTGCCGGTCAAAAGAAAGAATACCCACGTGTGATGGTGACTAAAATGAAACAAACAAGGAATGGGTAGTCGACGGTGATGTATTTGATACGGTTATCACAGTTGTGTTTTGGACGCATTCCTATTTTCAAGCGTATAGTTCCATTTGCAGGGCAGTTTATCATGTTTGTGTTACACCGAACAGTCGTGGTGCAGACACACTGAGACACACCAGCACAATATCACAGTATGGAGATTTATGGGTAAGTATTTCGACTCCACCTCAGTAACAACAGTTGGTGGTATTAGCGAGTCTCAACCCGGAGTCCAGCGAGATACTGCTCTGATATATAACAGTACAGGGATGCAAACACAACCATGAAACGCCGTCGGTGCCATTGCTGGTACTCCAGCAGTGCCAAAGTGAGTGAGTGAGTTAAAATTTAACTTCGCATCGGCATTATTTAAGCCATAGAGCGACTAGAACAAGTTATCATATACACCAGTGAAGCAGTGCCAGAACGATCGTAGCATAGACGGACATATCCAGCACGATCGTAGCATAGACGGACATATCCAGCACGATCGTAGCATAGACGGTCTTATCCAAAACGATCGTAGCATAGAATGACATATCCAAAACGATCGTAGCATAGACGGACATATCCAGAACGATCGTAGCATAGAGTGACATATCCAGAACGATCGTAGCATAGACTGACATATCCAGAACGATCGTAGCATAGACGGACTTATCCAAAACGATCGTACCATAGAACGATACATCCAAAACGATCGTAGCATAGACGGACATATCCAGAACGATCGTAGCATAGACGGTCTTATCCAAAACGATCGTTGCATAGAATGACATATCCAGCACGATCGTAGCATAGACGGACTTATCCAAAACGATCGTTGCATAGAAGGACATATCCAGCACGATCGTAGCATAGAAGGACATATCCAGAACGATCGTAGCATAGAAGGACATATCCAAAACGATCGTAGCATAGAAGGACATATCCAGCACGATCGTAACATAGACTGACATATCCAGAACGATCGTTGCATAGACTGACATATCCAGAACGATCGTAGCATAGACAGACATACAGTTGTAGCTTAACAATGGCTGCCCGTCATTTTCAACCCTGCCTTAGGGGTGCTATAAGCAGTAGAGAAGCCCCCGCACCAGACAATGGCGAGGATAATCATATTGGGGCCATGTCTCCTGTGTCTGTCTCGACTGACAGAATAAAGCCATCACGACCAAAACTAGTCATTGTTTACAAATGTTACTCAAAACTCAATAATCGGACAAAGCCGTGTGTCGGCTTCATGTCACAATGATACATCGCCTATTCCGCTCATTTTGCATCACTTTCGATTAAAGAGGGTAAATGGCCCAATTCCTGTAATGAAGCGTCTGGAGTGGCATTTATATCACAACTCCAAAGACAACTATGGGAACATCAATTGATCACAGTACAAGCTGAGCAAGGAATTGCCCTACCATCGTCACCAAAACCAATTTTCTCCTCCCCTGGAATCACCTCGCTCCATGGACTCTTGGAGAAACCATTTCCGTCATTTATAACACCGCGCGCTCTACACGAGAAGCCAAAGCAATAAAACAAACGAAGCATCCCTTAACCACAATGCCAGGAAATTGAGAGCACGTCCTTACAACCTGTAGAGCGGAGGGACTACAACGGAATGTCCGGGCTAGGCAACCTACGCAGTTCTATGGGGGAGGGGGGGGGGGGGGGGGGGAAGTGAATGGAAGCCTTCCGTCAATACATCAGGAGACAGTCTCACTTCCAGGTTATAAGCAAGCGCACATCACATGAAGCCGAATTAGTCAGCATTAAGTACTTCGCTCGCATGCTTGACCAAACACGTTGAAATGTCCAGGGATCAATACATTCATAGGTTAGCTCCCTTGGGTATGTCATCCAAGGTTAGTGGGAATGGACATTACTTGATAGTAAAGGAATGCAGAAGACGAAATGAAGAGTATACACACACACGGTTCTGTCGTTCACATGTTATTTACTTACCTTCAATAAATCAGGCTGAAAAATAGAAATTGAACTTAGAAACATCTCCATCATCGTCTTGAACTCCATAAGAGCTCATCACTGACCATTCTCGAATACAACATCAACTCCTATAAATATGAGAGACTTGAATGAGGACGGCAGTTGAAACCACACTTGACAGGCTTCAGTCACAGGATATATCAGCAGAAATATGTAGTTGAGAAAACAGCTGCACTTACCCTGTGTTTTGACGGTCAGTTATGGGAGATGTTTTGATCACTTCTACAGGTCAGTCCTTTCCATGTAAATACGCGGTTAGAATAGCAGTACCAGGGTCACGTGACTCGATGGACCCGGAATTATCGATTTCTAACAATTCTCTGACATACATTCATTCCGATGGCAGTTACCTCCCTTACGTCCTTGGCGCCGATCGTGGGATTTATTGATCTGGTAATCAGAGCGAGTATCCAGGTTTTGTAGTAAAGCGTTTACGCCGAGAATTTATGAGCATTTGATTAAGAGATCGAACAGGGTTTTTTTATTTGTTTCATACGTAATGTCCTCAGCCTTGGCAGTGAGGCACACGTCCTGGCAATTTTATGGTTTTTCACCCATTTGGGGTACTGTCGTACTTTATACAATAAGTGTTTACGTCTTCGAGAAGCGGCGAACCTGTGTGTAAAAACCAGTTATCGACCGGCCACGTGAAAGCATATGCGAATCTCAGATATTTTAGAAGAACATTGACATAAAAAAGACGTGGGCAAACGTGCTGTGGGCGAGAAAGATGGGATCGACGGATTCTTTGATGCTGAACCAATGGCGGTTCCGAGTCCTGCTGCTATTTCCCCTTTAATGGTATTGACCGCTGAAAGTGACGTCATCGACGCTTCAGTGACAGTAGAGAAATTAGGATGGTGAATATAAGGCTTATGTTGCCGCATTGTAGCTGGATGTAGCTGGAGAGGCATGCAAGCCGCATGAACACGGAACTCGGTCAACAAATGAACTGACAACACCAGAGATTAATAGAATTTAAGAACATTTCAATTACGACTCCGAAATGAAACATCATACAAGATGGCTTTGAAACTCAAATCCTTGCGTTCCCGGCAAAGTTTCGGACGACTTTAGCTGAGTAACGACGGGGATATTGTGTATAGGGTTTATAGTGAATATGAATTTGATCCCTGGGGTTCTTTTGGGGAACAATCTTCTTGATTTATTGATAACCTTAATGAGCGTGATGTAAAACGTAATTGTGTGTTTAAGTTGATTGTAGGATTAAGAGAGCCGATGTTGTGGTGGTTGCTGGACGCTGAATTAACGTCTCTTGAACACGGAGCGCAATAATCGTTAACAGATTGACAACAAGAGGGACATTTCCTTGAAATCAGGCGATATGTACCCAATTGCACTCTTGCTCTGGCGCCTAATTTCTCTTGACAAGCGTCAGTCCTGGAACACGTCAGAGGACTTGAGCAATCTGTTCTGGTATACAGCTCAACATGTTACGTCGTACCCTCTGGTTAATGGTCATGAGACGCAGGAACTCTAGGGTTAAAATACTTTTTTTGTAATCTGGCTTTTCTTACACGACATGGGCAAGTAACAAAAAACAAAGGCTTAATTATCTTATTATGCTTGGGTTTTTTTCTGTACGTGTGGAAAATAATGTCGCTTTTCACACATCGATTTATCTCGAAGCTAAAAACGGAAACAAGGCATTGTGAAAACACGGGGTCATGTTGTTTAGTTTCGACTTTATCTTTTATAGTGAAAGGCTTTGTATATCGTATGGTTAAATTTCAGAATATAATTCAAACAGTTTCATGATAAAGTGAGTGAGTGAGTGAACTAAGCTGGATTTAACGCCGCTTTGAACACTATTTAGTTATTTCACGGCGTGTCTAATTTAGTTTGGAAGGAAAACTTTTTAAAAGAAAGTCGAAGGCATAGGCGTTTATCACATTCATGCAAATGATCATTAACCAGAAATATCTTGGATATTATCAGCGGATACTGGCACAGTTATGGGACTCTTCACAGGGACTGTATCACGCCTTAGGCCACTAAAATAACCCTTCCCCTGAAGTGACGTCACTGATATAAAAGAATATGTCACTGGCAGTCCTACAATTCTGATATTTTCAAAATGGCCGATGTACATACAATCTGAAATTACGGCGTTCAAGTCTGGGCGGTTAGATCTAATGATGGTGTAAAAACAGGCAGGCAGACTAAGTAATTAGCTGCTGATGAGAGAAATCTGCGATCAATCTGTGGCAGTGGCGACAGACCACGTCGTTGACAGAATGACCAGATTAGCGATCCGCCCTTCTCGATTATGGTGACCCGTTCTGTACGCCGGCTGGATGAGACGTTGGTTGGATATATTCACGAGGGACCTGTATTAATACCGCGGTCTGCACAACGCTAATATCCTCGCAGTAATTACTCCAAATGTAACGGGTTACTGTGTCGGAATGCGCAGCCGCCCTTGAGCAGTCCGTATGCAGACACTTGTAGACACTCGCCCAGCCTCCAAGAGACTAATGACAAGGATCCAAATTGACCTGCTCGGTCTTGTCCAGCATAAAGCTACCATCGGTGCTGTGGGTGGGTGTAGATGCTGATGTAGCCGCCGCCACTCGCACCGTGGTATCATTAAGCCAACTTTATAGCTGCCCTGTTTTAGTGGTGTGGTATGCCGGGCCACGCAAAATGGTGATCCCATTTTGGAGTGTTACCAAATGACTGATTACTCTCTGTGTCCACAATAATAAACTAATTATTAGATTTTCACTCCAGCCTTCTAGACAAAAATACACTGCCTCGCATAATTATATTGTCCTATGAAGAGCGATTTGACGGCCGACACATTTTTTTCTAAATTTATGGCGGACGAGTGTACACTATATGAGGAACCCGTTCCTCGGGACTCCCATAGTGCCAATAGAGCCAATAGTGCCATAGTCTCACAGTCCCTGAACCCTATTATTTCCCTTCCATCCAGCCCTCTCTGCAATGCTCTTAATGAAACAGGTCTAAGCTTTCTTCAGGTTCAGAATCTCCCGACTCCCTGGGGCTTCATTTAAATTTAAAAGGAGACATTTGTTTCTATCGAAATTATATATTTTCGGAGACTAAGCGTTAGTCTATTCGTATCAGTGCCCTCCTTGCATCCACGTACACGTCAACAGCAAGAGATCTGGACAGAAGATGACAGATATCAGTATGAATTACACAAACAACTGGTGACAAGTCTATGGCAGATTGGCAGATGGTGCTCGTCTGTATTCAGTGGCTAAGCCATTTAATGAACGGTGATCCGCTGTGCATGCAATATTAGGTTTCATGTTTCCAGTACAGCTCTAGCAAAGGCTAGGAACAGGTAAACACGTCTCTTTAAAGTGGCATGGCGGTTAACGCATAAGCTGTGACAATATGGAGTGTTGCAATATTGGTCATGGTGCGACTTCTTTTTACTGACCGGAAGTAAAAGCCACAATAAGAATAAAAAAGTAGTTTTAATTTGTTGTTTTGCCCGAACGCTCTATCTTTGGATTTGAAAAGGATCAGGAATCAAAGGGAGCAACTGTTAACTTTAATAAGCATTGATCCCGTGCTTGTTATGCATATTACCACAGGTCACTGCATACAGTTGATTTCCACCAGATTTCAGTCCGAAGATTACATGCGTATTATAACAAGTTAAAACATATTTACACACACACACACACACACACACACACACACACACACACACACACACACACACACAATCACACACACAATCACACACACACACACACACACACACACATAATCACCCACTCACACGCAAACACACTCACTCTCACAGCTTCGTTACAGATTGCCCAAGGATCTATTTTTTCAAGGGTTCCCAGAGACCCTAAACCTTTAAGAAAGGGGCACCAGAAACACTCGGGACTCCTCCATGGTGTACAACAAGCACCTGTTGAGTAAGCACAGATGTTAGAAATTGGCACTCGTCCTGTAGCCTTATATATATAGAACATAGAACAGGTGTAAATACAGTACAGTGAGCTACAAATAACAATCTAGGTGTGGTTTGGAAATGGAAATATACAAGTATTACCGGCGAGTAAGAATGAATGCCATCTTCATTTGGCATTTACTCACAGCAAACATCAATAAGTATTGAAAAGAAACTGTTTCCTTGTCACAAGTGAGATTCACAATGCAATACGACATGTCTGTCATAGTTCAAGGTGTGTTTGTGACTCAAGTTACATTTTATAGACTTTGGATCGTGAGATGTTCTGCACAAAAAGGCATAAATGTAATGTCAAACAGTTCACCATACACTCCAACAAATAGCTAACGCGATAGTGATGCGACAAGTCATAGTTTAAGACGTAACATTATTTTCATAACGTTATTAACATACTTCCTTGATGTCATTTCAAGCTTACATTTATGCAGCATTTAACTGCATGTAACAAAACTAATAAGGTTGAGGGTTTAATATGTCATTGTTTCATGGTGCGTTAGGTTTAACTGAATGTTAATGTGCCGTCAGGATACAAGACCTAATGACACGAAAAGACAACCAAAGTCCCAATGAGTCTTCTGAATTGTTTCTGGTTAGACTGAAGGACACACGCATACACCCCCTTCCATCTGCCTGCACGTTATCGACATGTTATCGACAAGTCATCTGTCAACTCTCCTGTCCAGCATGTTCTTCCAGAGTGAGTGAGTGAGTGAGTGAGTGAGTAAGTAGGGACTGATGCCGTGTTCAGCAATATTCCAGCCATGCCATAGAGGGGATACATCAGAAATGGGTTTCACGCAATGCAACCATGGTGGGAATCGAACCCGGGTCTCGGGCGCGACGAATCAACGCTTTACCCACAAGGCTACCCTAACGCCCCTTTCAGCTGTTCACACGACTTATAATAAATCATTATTGTAAAGATATAACTGACATTTAACAAGGGGAGACGTGGTTAGCTCGTCATCGTTATAAATAACGGTTGCTGATGCGGGATAGTGGTATTTACGGACGAGAGTAGACTGACGTTCAGTCTCACCTAAACTGATCTTATTAAAAAATTAAGTCTACAAAATAGGAAACAAACTCAAAATGGATCCCAAAACAATGCCTAATTCCTAGAGCTTGTGCAATCTATCCTTGCCAAATCATTGAGTCTCATTTAGATTTAATTTTACTTCCTCGCTAGGGTCTGGGAAACTAGGGCTAGAGGTTTGTCTTGCCAACTAAAGTATGATATCCACTGCTCGGGATGAATCATGTCCGTTATTCTCTCTCACACTGCCTGAATCAAATTATTTTCCCTTCAGCCCAGCCCTTACTGTAATGCTATAGCTCTAAACAAAGGCAGTCTAGATTTTCCCCAGGTTCTGCACCTCCCATCTCAGTGAGGCTCCTTTTCAATTAATAGGTACTTGTTTGTTTCTATCTACTATATCCTCCAGTGTTCAGACTGTGCTCGGATCTGAGCAGAGATTGTGGAGTTTCAAGTTACAAAATGAAATTCCATTAACAGGCTCAGTGCTGGTCCATATGCAGAGGGGCCTTGGGGTGGTGTATCTTGAGACAGATAACAGAGATCATATTACCAAGCAAAAACAACTGTGTAACAAAGTATATCAAAAAGTATATACTTTCAGAGACTTAACGTTAGTCTATGTTTCCGTAACCAGAACCTTGCTCCGCACGTACTGCTCTCAACAAAATGTGATGAACTCTTCGTTCGCTGGACTTCCAGAATGCCTGGATGGTACTATTACCTTGCCCCTTCACCCGTCACTGATAGGTCGTACACAAGAGAGACAGTACTTCCTCAATCTTTAAAATTTCCTTAGATCATAATCAAATTCCAAACCCGTTGCCAGTAGTGGTGACAACAGTGAGACGCTGAAATACAATTATGGGGTAAGGTTCTCAGTAAAGCGTCCCTCTATTTCCTGGCTGACTACGCTACCAGATCTGTATAGGCGCTGATCATTCCGATGCAGTGATTTGCTGACCAGTGTACCATTGTACCATGCTGCGAACCCCTGGTGCAGTTAATATGCCCGCTGTAGTGATTCATCACAGCAGATCTGCAGCAACATCGTGTTTCAATCTCGAACAGCGGGGAACGGGCATGAGGGAAGACTGCCACAGTCAGAACGTCCAGTCGACAACGACGCATTGCTTTCGGTGTCCGCCATTCCCGACTGTGCTGATGAGGCTGATAGACGCATGCCGGTGAGATTAAACGCTGAAGCAAAGGAAGAGTTTTCTGCGAATGTCAAAGCAAATCAATCTATTAATTATAGCAATTTCCGTCCCTTGTGCTTTAGAGAATTCAAATTTGAATTTCGCACCATCAGCTAGCGTTTGGCGATGAGAACGGGAAATTGGCAGTATTAACTTCAATTAATATCAGTTTTATATTTTCATTCAGATGACTTGTGTATTCACAATATTAATAACCGTTCAATATTTTTCACAAAAAGCAGCCGAGGAGAGCTTGCTTCATTATTTGCTTGTAACAATGGCAAATAATAGAGCGACATTATCTAAATCATGGTGAGTTAAACTGTAGCAGTAGATCAACATCCATATAAAAGCGCAGTGAGCAAAGTTAGTTCTTAAATGGAACTAAATAAAACTAACAAATCCCTTCCATATTCCCTGCTAAAATGTCCGTGCTAAGTCGATTGTACGATTCCGACCATATCTAAAAGTCCAGAGGTTCCCGAAAAGTTGAGCGTATCCTGCCTCAACGGTACATCCCGTCACAAACACATGCAAAGGCACTGAAATATAAAGGTGGTAGATTTTGAAGAGTGGCAGTACATTATTTAATGGCAATATATAATATAAGTAGGCAGTGAACAGTTTCAGATATAAAAATACAGTGGTGATAGCAAAGGTTATTGGTAATAATATATATTCACCCAGCGGCGACAGTAGCCGAACTGGTTCTTACGGGGATGTATAGTTGAATGAACAGCAGCCGAACTGGTTCTTACGGGGAAATAAAGTTGAATTAACAGTAGCCGAATTGGTTCTAACGGGGAAATATAGTTGAATTAATAGAAGTCGAACTGGTTCTAACGGGAAATATTGTTGTATTAACAGAAGTCGAACTGGTTCTAACGGGGAAATATTGTTGTATTAACAATAGCGGAACTGGTTCTAACGGCGAAATATAGTTGAATTAACAGTAGCAGAACTGGTTCTAACAGGGAAATATAGTTTTAGTATGCCTTTAGACACTGGGCGCCGCTCCAGTGCAAGTGTCAGGGTTATAAAGTCTCATATCGTCAGATATCAGCCCCTGCTGCTCAAATAGATCAACATGTTATGTAATAATTAATATAATTCACCACAACATCTCATCCTACCGACAGTGACTGACGGCGGTGACCAATCACGTCTCCCCTTGGGTCACTACTCTCACTGTAGGACACCCTAATGCAATTGCTACTTTTATTGGAAAGGTTGCCTCGGAAACCGCTCCTAATTGATCCTTATTCGCGAAACGTAGTTGTCTCAAGAATGTATTACGCGACAGAAACTTACAATAATGGAATTGAAACAGTGAAAGGCCCCGAATTAAACCCAACGATATTGAGAATAGTGAGATATGTTCATTTCTTTTCTCATTGTTCAAGTATAATTACTTTTCTAATTTGGGAGTTCATAAACAACTTGTCGATGACTCAACTGCAGAAATGACTGAAACGTCTGTAAAATCCCCAGTGTGTGATGTCGTAGGTTACATGAGTTGTTAATAGTCAGTTAGACAGTGAACAAGGTATTTTACACCGTCTTATAAACCTACTGCCACGTTTGCCCATTGTATTGTAGGTAGGTATGTTTCTATCTCGTAACAACCTCTCAGGAGGTTTTACTTTTTCCTAGTACGACCTTATCCTGGGCATGAAGTTTTACTGTTTCCTAGTAAGACCTGGTATAACGTTTTACTTTTTGCTAGTAAGGCATGATGATTGGAGTTGCAGATGGAATTGGGACTTAGTGTTTCAAACGTCCTCTGTTCTAAAATCATAGGACAAGAAAAGAAACGTTCTTCATTATGGAGGACGGAATGGAACCTGCTGCCTCATAGATCGTGTTGAGTTTTGTAACCCACTGTTTTCCTACTGAGCCACCAGGACAGGTGTTCAGATAATTTCAATTTTAGATGTCATGACTTAGTTTTGTCTATGCTGCACGTGTTTCTTTCTCTCGCACGATTTGAAAGCACTCCTTTTATACCGCGACACACTGTATTGTTTCACTATAATGAAATCGATGTTTTCTTATTTTTTCTGTTATTTCTTGCATTTAGACTAAGCTTCGCTTCTCGGTACCCTCTTGCCGATACCCTCTTGCCGGCACCCCCTTGCCGGCACCCTCTTGCCGGCACCCCCTTGCCGGTACCCTCTTCTCGGTACCCCCTTGCCGGCACCCTCTTGCCGGCACCCTCTTGCCGGCACCCCCTTGCCGGCACCCTCTTGTCGGTACCCTCTTGCCGGTACCCCCTTGTCGGTACCCCCTTGCCGGCACCCTCTTGTCGGTACCCCCTTGCCGGTACCCCCTTGCCGGCACCCCCTTGCCGGTACCCCCTTGCCGGTACCCCCTTGCCGGCACCCTTTTGCCGGCACCCCCTTGCCGGTACCTCCTTGCCGGTACCCTCTTGTCGGTACCCCCTTGCCGGTACCCCCATGCCGGTACCCCCTTGCCTCTGTCTTGCTTCCTCGACCATAACCTCGGAGTCGTGCGTTTTCCTTTACGAGGCGATCTTGAGGAAGCAATCGGATGGGGAGTATGATCTTGAGCGGTGCATAAAACCAGTGACCAATAGTGTGAACACAATGAATCGCCATGGCAACGACATGTATTCCATCGTTTCACCCAGAATCCCAACACAGTTACAATATGATATTATAATTCAGCCATAGATTTTAACTAAAGACACACTACATCGTAACGCAATAATATAATATCCGAGGTGACTCAATGATAGAGTAATTGATCAGAGGCCAGTTCTTCTTCAGTTGGATTCAAGGTTCATATAAAAGGGAAAAGACATATCCTTGAGTGACAGACCTTTCTATTCAGCAGAATATAAGCTGGTAATCTGAAACCTACTTTACATGCTACGATTTTCTTTTAGTGTAAGACCGCCTCCGTGGTAGAGCGCCCGCTCGGAGAGCGGAAGATCCGGGGTTCGACCCCCGGCCGCGTCATACCAAAATACTTTAAAAGATGAGTACCCTGTCTGGCGCTCGGCTTTAAGGGGCTAAAACAAGGACTGGTCGGCTCGGAGTGAGTATACTTTGTCTGAGTGGGGTATGCATGTTAAACTGCGGCATGGTATAACAGTAGGCTAGCGCAATAAATCAGCATCAGTGCGGACAAATAGAAGCAGCCACACACACACGTGCATGCATGTCGCTATATAAGTGCAATAATCGTGGACGCGACGTTAAATCCTCAAGATGTGGCGCAAATTCTAGTACCCTGGGGTAAAGAAAATTCCCCATTAGACAAATGCGTCATGTAAAAGTATTTTGACAAATTTTGACTAGAGCCAAATGAACAGCTCTATGTTATATTGGGATGGCGTTCCAGGAAACAGTCAATCTAAATATATAGTTTATGTAAAGGAGTAGCCATACACATTTACACAGTCCAAATGCCACCATGAACCAAGCCTCTCTGTGGGAATTGATGGCCAGGTGATGAGACAAGGTGTCTTATTAGTGTCTGGTCTGAATTGCATGCCCTCACACAACTTGACAGTCCGTCCAAAGCTGATGCAGTTATTTATGCTAACACGGGATTGCCTCTGAAGCTTCATTCGTGACCAATTCGTTCCATTCCGGGAAAAGCCGAATGTAGACATGATTGTAGGTTACGGAAAGATGCGAGTGGTGACGAATGGTTGAATGTTCTGACAAATATCATGGAAAATATCTCTCGTTATTCTGAAGCATCATCGAATGCTTGGGCGGTTACCTTCCACCAGTGTCTTTCCCAAACTGTTCTTTCTCAACGAAGGGTCAAAGTTAAGATGAACATACCAATCTGGCAAAATCTTTGTCGCATCCGTTTTCAATGATCATGTAAACACATTTGCACTTTGCCACCCAGGGGGTACAGTTACCCCCGAGATAAATAAACCCTGTGGCAAGAGGATGCATGTGAACGAGGCTGAATAAGCCTATTATGTAGGAACGTGTTTATTTTATCATATTTATATTTATTTTAATTTTCTTGCGTCAGGACGATTAAATGCCAATTAGAGTTAGTACTGTTGGACAAAATACACACGTGGCAATAATGTCAATGAAATGCATATATATATATATAACATGTTTGAAGAAGTTAGTCAACACACTGAACACATATATATATATATTCAGTGTAATACTTTTTCAAACATGTTTTTATAGATCTATACTATGTTTGAATAAGTATCTGTTTACAGTAATCACAGTGAGGTTTTCAATAACCCTAAACATTGTCACGCGGAAGTCAGAACCACCAGTGCATTCGAGAATATGTCGAAGGTTGGGTGAGGTGAGGTGAGGTGAGGTGAGGTGAGGTGAAATTAGGTTTAATGTCGCGTCTAAGATTATTGCACTCTATATGTAGCGACGTACATGCACGTGTGTGTGGATGCTTGTACTAGTCCGGACTGATGCCGATTTATATGTACATATATATATATACATGTGCGTTTCTGTTTGTCTTCATGGAAGTGAGGTCCATGTTCATTCGCATGTTCTCTGCAGTGTGGGCGGGGCTGTTATAGTGTTATTTGGGTCACGTGAGCGGCACATGACCATGCAAAATGGCGGCGGCCACAGCCGCTAACTCGGACGAAAAGCCAGGACCAGTCTCAACGGGCGTCAAAGAACATTTATATAAAATACTCGTAATTGGAGAGTTTGGCGTAGGTAAGATATCCCTTCAAGTGTGCTGTGAAGTTTCACAGCTTGATTCATTCATGACAGTCAAGAACTGAGAAGACCCACTCGGGGCAAATTACTTTCGCTATAGATTTACACCCCAGCTCCGTGAGCTCGCCAGGTCGGGGGTAGCATAAACAGCAGATAACATCAGTCGAAGGGTCATTCCTCAATCGAAGCACGACTACATACTTTTGAGATGCTGGGAAACAGTTTCCAATTTCCCTTTCACCAGCTGCAGGTTAAATTGATTAGTCATTTAATGGATAACATCCGAACAAAAACAACAAAGTTTTCAACAATGCATGATTGTACATCAAGACCATTTCTGAATACAGGAGTCAGTTAAAGTTATATAAAAATTCCCATGATGTGATTTATTTACTTGGTACCTAAATCTGCCAAAATGGATTATTATTTTTACGGACGTTATTTAATGATTACAGGGGAGAGGGATTAGGGGGGTGTTGGTGCAGGGTACTGGGGAGTGTCATCCAAAAGTATGACAAGTATAATTTGGGGAGGGTCATAATTTTTAGTACATTAGAACATCAAAAAGCTCTTACCCACCCACCTGTAATAAATGACCTGTTGCTTATTTGCAGAAGAAGTATATTAAATCACTTTATCTATTACAACTTTTTATTTTCACAGGAAAAACATCGATCATCAGAAGATATACTGAAGGTAAGTTGGCATGAAATTCAGTTCTCAGTTTATGATTTGTATGCCTCTTTCTTATCCATTTCGCTCCCTCATTCTCACACACACACACACACACACACACACTTTCACGCACTTATTCACATTAACTCACACACACACTCAATCACTCACACAGACACACTCACTGACACATTCACTCACTTACACATACACCTACACACACTCACACACACACACGCAAACACACTCACTCTCACTCACACAGCTTCGTTACAGATTGCCCAAGGATCTATTTATTCAAGGGTCCCCAGAGACCCTAAACCTTTAAGAAAGGGGCACCAGAAACACTTGGGACTCCTCCATGGTGTACAACAAGCACCTGTTGTGAACAAGCACAGCGTTAGAAATTGGTACTCGCCCTGTCGTCCTTGCCAAACTGCCCAATAGTTTAGGTATCATAAGGACAAGTAGAAATTTGCCGTTTTTGAGGGTTTTGTTATATTTTATCATTATTAGGACTAGTGGACTAAAATGTTTCTACCACTGAAGCAGTGTCGCCTTGAAGCCAGGTCCAGGAAACTCACTGATTGTTTGCATAACTGCAGTCCTCTGTGTGGCCCCATCCTCATCCCCCTCCGTTAATAGTTCAATATGAATGTACAAGTAAAATGAATTGTAGAGATTTTGTGTGAACTGTCAGATTCAGTGATCACCCTTGCAATCAGTTGGGTTTTTTTGCTCCCTGAAAATATTACAACAATAAAAAAAAATGTCAATACCTAAAATTAATGAATTATTGAAAGTTATGTCCCCTTGTAACTATTATATCTTCTTCAGAATAATCTTCCTGTTGTGCAGCTCACAGCTTGCACCAGCCACAAACTACTGTTTGTTTTATTTTCCAATTAACGAACCAGTTTGGGACCAGGCATAAATGATAAATGAAAAGGAAATAAGATTATTTTTATTTACCCGACTGATAATGTGATAAATTAGAAAATTAAGACGACTACATAATGCAAATGTGTACATTTCCTATACTTACTGACCAGGTATGAAACAGAGGTTCTGTCTGCTGCAAACATTGAGAGAACAATCAATGCTTTGAAAAGAATTCTATTTTTGGTCACTATAAAAACTGAAAACAGCCTCCACCTTTATCATATCTAGCATTAATACCCATCATGAACCCACTGGTTCATGGGAGCTTATTGGGAGTATACCAAATGAAAAATTTGATGCGTATGTTTTTTTCTTATTCGAGAACATTGACATTGAGACATTGCACGCTTGTGACAGTTGTCCTTGTGTCTTGGGGATGGGGGTTGAAGTTTATGGCAGTATTGCTCCCAGACCTGGCTACGCCCGATTTTTTAAAAGTACTGATTTAACTTTATCTTGTTTATTTGACTTATTGACGATTGCCATTGACTTATTACATTTGTTGGTGTGAATGTTGTCCAAACTGCACGAAATTGCTTAAAATGCAATAAAATGTTTGAAAAATTTCTGGGGGGCATGACCCCAGACCCCACTAGACTTTTTCTCTTTTTTCAGGAAAACCTACTCACATCCCTGTATTTCAATGTATCCCAGCCAATCTGTTCTAAAAAAACTTTACATAATATATGGCCCTTATCATGTGTTTGTATTAACACGATGCAGTGCCAAGATTGTTTGGTGACCTGAAGGGGCGGTGGGGTAGCCTAGTGGTTAAAGCGTTTGCTTGTCACGCCATAGGCCGGGGTTCAATTCCCCACATGGGCACAATGTGTGAAGCCAATTTCACTCACTTATTAACTCGTGGTTCTCCATACGGGGGAATGGTGGTGGCCAACAAGGTCGAAAAATTCTTATTCCCCCCTCCACACAAGTTTTTGGTTGACGGTTCACACAAAGTCACATAAAGTCGAACAAAGTCACATAACCCCTGAGTTGAGGAATGAAGTATGAAATTTTCTCATCATTTGATCCTAAACTACCCACATAAATTATTTGGGTGAGAGGTTTCTCTGCTTATCTCCAGCCAACACATCGTCCCATCACATATCCCCATACTAACGATAAGATAAGTTACAAAGAAAAATAATTTTTCTCTCAACAATATATAAACAAAACACATGTGCATCCAAAATGCCATTCAAAATTTGTGATAGTGTTACACAAATTGTTATATTAAAATGTGGGACTGATTATTGTCTGTAACTTTTTTTCCTGTGAATTATGGAATGTTTTTCAGAGTGTATTAACTAAATACAAGGCCAAGAATGTTTTTCTTAGTGTATTAACTAAATACAAGGCCAAGAATGTTTTTCTTAGTGTATTAACTAAATACAAAGCCAAGAATGTTTTTCTTAGTGTATTAACTAAATACAAGGCCAAGAATGTTTTCCTTAGTGTATTAACTAAATACAAGGCCAAGAATGTTTTTCTTTGTGTATTGACATAATGTAGCACCTAGAATGTTTTTCTTAGTGTATTAACTAAATACAAAGCCAAGAATGTTTTCCTTAGTGTATTAAATAAATACAAGGCCAAGAATGTTTTTCTTAGTGTATTAACTAAATACAAGGCCAAGAATGTTTTTCAAAGTGTATTAACTAAATACAAGGCAAAGAATGTTTTTCTTTGTGTATTAACTAAATACAAGGCCAAGAATGTTTTTCTTAGTGTATTAACTAAATACAAGGCCACGAATGTTTTTCTTTGTGTATTGACATAATGTAGCACCTAGAATGTTTTTCAAAGTGTATTAACTAAACACAAGGCCAAGAATGTTTTTCTTAGTGTATTAACTAAACATGCTAAATACAATGCCAAGAATGTTTTTCAGAGTGTATTAACTAAATACAAGGCCAAGAATGTTTTCCTTAGTGTATTAACTAAATACAAGGCCAAGAATGTTTTCCTTAGTGTATTAACTAAATACAAGGCCAAGAATGTTTTTCTTAGAGTATTAACTAAATACAAGGCCACGAATGTTTTTCTTAGAGTATTAACTAAATACAAGGCCAAGAATGTTTTTCTTAGAGTATTAACTAAATACAAGGCCAAGAATGTTTTTCTTAGAGTATTAACTAAATACAAGGCCACGAATGTTTTTCTTAGAGTATTAACTAAATACAAGGCCACGAATGTTTTTCTTTGTGTATTGACATAATGTAGCGCCAAGAATGTTTTTCAAAGTGTATTAACTAAACACAAGGCTAAGAATGTTTTTCTTAGTGTATATTAACTAAACATGCTAAATACAAGGCCAAGAATGTTTTCCTTAGTGTATTAACTAAATACAAGGCCAAGAATGTTTTCCTTAGTGTATTAACTAAATACAAGGCCAAGAATGTTTTTCTTTGTGTTTTGACATAATGTAGCACCTAGAATGTTTTTCAAAGTGTATTAACTAAACACAAGGCCAAGAATGTTTTTCTTAGTGTATTAACTAAACATGCTAAATACAAGGCCAAGAATGTTTTTCAGAGTGTATTAACTAAATACAAGGCCAAGAATGTTTTCCTTAGTGTATTAACTAAATACAAGGCCAAGAATGTTTTCCTTAGTGTATTAACTAAATACAAGGCCAAGAATGTTTTTCTTTGTGTATTGACATAATTTTGCACCTAGAATGTTTTTCTTTGTGTTTTGACATAATGTAGCATCTAGAATGGTTTTTTTTGTGTTTTGACATAATGTAGCACCTAGAATGTTTTACTTTGTGTTTTGACATAATGTAGCACCTAGAATGTTTTTCTTTGTGTTTTGACATAATGTAGCACCTAGAATGTTTTTCTTTGTGTTTTGACATAATGTAGCACCTAGAATGTTTTTCTTTGTGTTTTGACATAATGTAGCACCTAGAATGTTTTTCTTTGTGTTTTGACATAATGTAGCACCTAGAATGTTTTTCTTTGTGTTTTGACATAATGTAGCGCCTAGAATGTTTTTCTTTGTGTTTTGACATAATGTAGCACTGAGAATGTTTTTCTTTGTGTATTGACATAATGTAGCACCTAGAATGTTTTTCTTTGTGTTTTGACATAATGTAGCATCTAGAATGTTTTTCTTTGTGTAGTGACATAATGTAGCACCTAGAATGATTTCGTACAAAAAAACAGCACTTTGCTACAATTTTTCTAGGTAGCATTTTCATACCTATATTTGAACCTGTGAAAAACAACAACAGCTGTTGAACCCGTCATGTGACATGTGTATTTCAGTGACAACCATTCAGTCATACAAATGTCAGTCACAGAAATTCACAGAAGTTAAGATTAATCTTGTTTTCTATTGCTTAAAAATGTTACTACCAGAAACTTCCATGCAGGTGAAACATTGCAGACTATGATAAAAACAGCCATTCTACTCCGATTCTTTGTGGGGTTATCTTTTTGTGAGTGAGTGAGTGAGTGAGTATGGTTTTACGCCGCTTTTAGCAATATTCCAGCAATATCACGACGGGGGACACCAGAAATGGGCTTCACACATTGTACCCATGTCGGGAATCGAACCCGGTTTCGGCGTGACGAGCGAACGCTTTAACTACTAGGCTACCTGACCGCCCTATCTTTTTGTGAAGCATACCAGAAACTATTACTCATCTGTGAATGTGTAATCACTCAGAATATTTGGACAGATGTAGAATTATGGCTATTGATAGCTGCCAACATTTGATTAAGTATTACTTACAAAAAATATTACTTTTATTCAAAGATAAAAATAACGATCCATCAACATGATCAATGCAGCTCTTTTACTGGTAAAACATGTAAGTTATACGTTTTAAATCTGAAAGAGAAATCTGTTTGTCAAACGCATTCAAAGAGATATTGTTTTGTATTATGATATCACAAAACCTATCTCTCATCAGGGCTCGATTAAGCTATTATCACTGCACAAGTGCAACCCATTATGGAAATATGCAACCTGATATTTATATCTACATGCACCAAGCGCATGTCAACAAAGTTAAAATATATATAGTGACTAAGCCAAACATCGATCTTTGAACCCACTTAATACCTAAA